CTGGCTCAATAGTCGACTGGCCCCTCTTGTCGATGATCCTGTCTGCTGCCGATCCTGAACCTGCTTCTACGCCCTTCAGCGAATTGTCCGAGAAGGTGAAAATGGTCTTACCTATCCACAGGTTAATCATCGGTTTATTTGCCTGGGATGTAAGTCTCCAATTGTCTTCCAAAATGTCTGGATCTCCACCTGCGGATGCATCAATGATTTCCGTGGTACGTTCTCGGCTGATGTGATCAGGATTGATTGGACATTCCTTGGCTCCATTTGGTGTGAACAGCGCCTTTCGGGGCGTGATGCGCACACGGATGAGCTGCTTGTTCTTCTTGTCAAGGATCCAATGGTCCTGCTTTTGAGACCCAATGATCTTAGGAGTTGCTAGGTCCTCCTTTGTCTCGGATGATTTTGCTGCACAAACAGTTTCGCTCTTGGTGAGATCCCCGGAGGGAAATTGATGCTGTTATCATCGTCATAGACATAGTTGGTGAGGCCCTTGTGAGCAATTTCTCCATGTGCCTTCACTCTTGCAACTCCAGCGAGATCGACGAGCGCATGTCCTGTACCGGATACTGGAACTGCTTGACGGTTCATGCCAAAGGCCTTGCATGTGATCTTGTCACATTGAGGTGTGTGCTCGATGGTCATGTAGAGGTTCCGCATCCGGCTGATGCTGAGAAGGATTGGTACAGTTCCTTGTTCAAGGACGTCGATGTTGGTACTGCACGGAGGAGTTGTGTGATATCGAAGATGCAGGGTCCAATTTACCCTGGCGGTCTCTCCGTTTGCAAAAGTGAACTTGGTCTCGGCCGGGATGTACTCGTAGGAGATGATGTCCTTCATTGGTTCAATTGCCTGGGTAAAACGCTGGATTGCATGCCAGCTGCCCATAGATCTGGTACATCCGTTGTCCAGAATCGCATAGGTCGGGTTGTGCTGAGGGTTGATGACAGGCGCCATCAGCTTTGTTGCCAGAAGGCTGTGATTTGTTGTGACGGACAGATTGTGTTCTGAAACTGTATCTGATTGGATCAGCTTCTCGTGGATGGCCTTTTTCCCAGGATACTCATATGCATCATGGAATGCCATTAACGCTTGTCCTGTGCTGGATGTCTCATGGGATGAGTACCAGCCATGTTCGTTCCATGTCCATGATTGATCCCAATCTTGGTCTGTCCAACCGGCATAGGTAGGCTCTATGGATGGTGCAGTCTGCTGGATGGCGGGCTGCTCCTCCGTCTTCTCTGCGGTGGCTGCGAACGTCTTGGATTTTCCTTTCTCCTGTCCGCTCTTTCCTTTGCCACTCTCATAGGATGGATAACCTTTGTTTCCATCATAGGGATATTGGAATTTTGATTTTCCTTTCTTTCCCTTCTTTCCTTTGCCTTTTCCCCAATATGCCTGGTCGTAGGGATCATAGTTTTCGTTGGCCATATTGGCCTTTCCGCCAGAACCGCTTTTTCTGAAGGGTTTGAAGCCACCTCGTTGGGGACTGCCCTTCTTGTTTCCTGACTTTCCTTTCCTTTTCTCTTCTTGAACTTGAAGTTCCGCCCCGACACTTTTCTTGCTATGAACGCATCGTTCTCCTCGAGGACCCAGAACGTCTCTTCATCGTCGTCTGACATGAATCCTTCAAGTCCTTCTTCATCCTCAACCCAGAAGCCTTCTTCTCCTTCGTATTCGCCTTGTTCGATGATGAAGAATGTGTTGCTTCGGTTGCCTCCTTGAGGTCGGATGGATGGATCTTGGATCGATGTCCTCGTTGTGATGAAGAGTTCATGGTAGTGCGTCTTCAGCATCTCATAGGAATAATTCTCGAGTGAGATGTGTCTCAATGACATTGCACTTGTGAGTCGTTCTCTTTGTTGATCTGACAACTCACTTTGAATTCATGAAAAACTGTGCAATGAGATTCTCCCCGAAGGGGAACGCGTCCCGCTGTCTGTCCTGCATTCCTTGGATATAGTGTCTGAGGACTGTAGGATCGTCCTCATTGAGCAGGGCTGGAGGCGGTGCTCGAGCACCGGCTGCTTGCTGATGTCGAGCAATTGTCCTTGCATTTGCGTCCTGAGTCCATCCATGCTGCCTTCAATCTCATGAGAAGGATTTCGAATATTGAGGTAAAAATGAGGAACTCTTGGTTCTGCCTTCTGTGGTTGGAGTCTGTACAGATACACGCTGGTCGCACCTGTCAAAAAGTACTTCTTCAGCGTGTTCTTGAAATAGTTGACTCCTTCATCAGGATCTTGCAAAAAGTCATTTTGGAGGACGGCCTTGTACATGTAAGCATCTCCAGTGAGTCTGCTCTTAAGCAATGGACCTCGCTTGGCTGCTTCTACTGTGGTGATGGTCACCCAGTCGTTCACGAGTTCTTCATACCTGAACCAGCTGACTTTTCCGTCGCACGATGGCGGCTGCTTGGCGGTCATCGATAAATTTAGTGTTTCCTCCGTATAGTTCGGCTTTGCCGAACTTGTATAGGCTTCCATGAAGCCTTCTTCATCTGATGACATCTTCCTCTGGATCTCTGCGGAAAACCTGCTCCGCTACCACGAATTGAGGCCCACTGCCCCAGGTGCCTATCCCCGGAGGGAACTGGAACCCTGTGGTAGTTGAGGTCGTTGTTGGTCCCTGGATCTATTCCGGAGAGAGTCCAATATGCCAGTAATGGATGTTTGGAGGATGGATTGTCCCTGGTGGATTGTCTTGTGGATAATCCTGTACGCGGTCTGCTGAGGCTCTTTTGTCACACGCTCGGATGATTGTGATCTACAAAAGGGGCCCTTGAGCCAAATGTTGCGGGAGATCAATGGTCTGAAAAACAGAAAACAGGGGGGGGGAGGGAAAGATCTTAGGGGGGAGGAGGGGGGGATCTTAGGGGACAAAGGCCTTGGGGGGGAAAGGGGGGAAGGATCTCAACCGGGAAAGGGGGAAAAGATCTTAGGGAGGAAAAGGGAGAAGGTCTCAAGGGGGGGAAAGGCCTTAGGGGGGGAAAGGGGGGAAAGGGAGGCAAAGGGAGAAGATCTGAAAAGGCCTTAGGGGGGAAAGGGGGAAAAGGATCTCAACAGGGAAAGGGGGGAAAAGATCTTAGGGAGGAAAAGGGAGTAGGGTGGAAAGGGGGAAGGGATCTCAACAGGGAAAGGGCGGAAGAGATCTTAGGGAGGAAGGAGAAGATCTCAGGCGGGGAAAAGGCCTTAGGGGGAAAGAGGGAAAGGATCTCAACAGGAAAAGGGGGGCACAGATCTTTGAGGGGAAGGGGGGCAAGGGGACAATTCCAAAGGGACGCAAATAAGAAAGCAGGCCTGTAATGTCGGCGGCCTGAGCCGGAGGCGTTGAAATATAAGGCAGAAGTGTACGCGACAAATTCAAATTCTTGCTTCCAGGCTGCGTCATGTGTGAGGCTGACAGCCACCAGATTAGCACGTGAGGCTCGCAAGAGGAGATGATCCACACATGCCAGAGCTTTTGCAGGCACTGTCTCCTGGAAGATTGCCACCTAAGTGAGGATCAAAACATAGTTAAAAGGGTAACTCGGCAACTACCCTGCAAAAAACAACTGCACCCGGCCTTGACGGACTCTTTGGCAAGCAAACTGTACTCGTGCACGGTCAGCACCCCGCCATCTTTGGAGAGCGTCTCGTAGAAGATGCTACTGCGGTGATGACATAAATGGAAAGCAGTGAGCTCCTTGGTAACAAATCCCAAGTTCATGTGCCAAACAATCGCGCGGCACACGCATGGCTTTACTTCCCACTACTTAGACTTTGGCCCAGTTGCGGCATCATGCAGCTCCACTGCTGGCGTCAAAAGGCCGTCACGCAGCATGGACACGCCCGAAGCAGTGGCGAAGTACACTGTCTCTTCCTCAGTGCTTCAGCAGTGCCAAAAGGTGCAGGGTGCTAAAAGAAGAAGCTCTCCGAACCCTTCAAGCGTCACATAGCGGTGCCAATATCTCTTGCACGCTGGCGCAAGTGCAGCCGAGTCGCATTGACAAGACCTACGTGGCGTATTTGAACATCGTGTGGTCTGTAGAAGCTAGTGCTCCAGCTGTTGGCCAAATATTCTCGAGTCTCAGCCAGCACCTCGAGTGGCTTCTCACGGCTTCTTGCCAGTGTCATTTTTTTGCGATCCACGCGGCGGGCCACAGGCAAGTGCACAAGCCACAACCTGACAGGATGGATCTGATCCGGTGCCTTCCCGCAAAATTCTGACAGAAAACAGTGAGAGTACTGAATGCAGAAGCATCATCCGTGCGCTTGAGGAAGCCCTGCCTACACGCCAAAGTTGCATAGCTGCCAGCAGCCCCGATGCCAGTCGGCTAATGAGGAGTCAGCAATGCAGCTCTCAAGTATCTTGCAAGCGACATGGTACAAAATGCACAACATGCTGGTGCTGCTGTCATCGTGCTGCTGTCCCAAAGAGTCTGCGCTTGGTCAAGGACTCCGACTTATTCCCCCCGACTTGGTCATCAAGACTTGAATCTGCCAAGCCTTGATGGCACAGTTCTAATTCGCCTGCAGTCCCTTGAGCCGCCATGCAATGGGCGCTCACCCCGTGACTTGACACGTGCACCGACTTTCCGCGGAGGGTGCTCACCGATCGCCCGAAAAAGTGAACTGCCTAGCACCGGCGTGGTGCGCATGGCGTGCGCCTTGGGTCAATGCACAGGTCGCCTCCGTGAAAGCGACTCACCGAGGGCGACGCCCGCGCAGCAAAGCGAGTCGCAAAGCGCGGGCAAAAGGCCATGGGTTGCTCTTGCGTTCGCTCGGGATAGCAATAACGATGCCGAAAAACCGAGGACCACTGCGATGGCTGCATACGCAGCAACGTTGCAAGGATTGGCTACACTGGGCATGGAGAGCTGCAACGGCGGCAAACCGAAGTCTTTGGCTCCGTATGCGATGCAAATGTATCACATCCTTCGCGCTTGTTTCTTCGAGAAGACCCGCCTTCACTCCAGCAGCGTCACAACCTGTCAATGGGACTTCTGCAACTCAATGGCACTAACATCGGAGAACCTCCTCGAAGCCACGGTTTCGGGCTAGATCCAGGGCAGTCTTGCCCAAGTAGTCCTCAAAGGCACAGCAACTCATCAATACGGCTTGTGTGGCAACTTCATGGTAAATGATTCCTGCTGCGTCTTGTGTGGCGCTTGCCAAAATCAGCTCTGCATTGGTGGCGTGAACATGTCTGAGCGTCAATCTTGATTTTGCCCGAAACTGTACGTATCGAATCATTGTCCTGCATGTCCTTGTCTGCCCCCATCGACAGAAGCTCTTTCACCTGAAGGGCTCAAACACTGATGCTGAGCAATACACTGTCCAAACCGAAACATACAAGCGCTGACACGATGAAGCGATCAAACGACGTATCGAATGCCCGTCTGGCACCGTATGCACGAAGCCATTGTGCGCCGCTGCGTGCAGCGGGCTCCTCTGAGTAATGGAAGATGCTTCCTCAGGAACGCGGCATGCGCCGTGGCATCGAGAGCCTCTGGGGTGACTCTGTGACATGGCCAAGCTGCATCTCAAGTGGCGCCCTTCGAAAATTACCGAGCCCTGCTGAGCCCTGCACATCTACGTACTTGTCCAATACACCGGCCTGCACCCATGCGCACGGCTGCAAAAAACGTGCCTCCTCCCCGCCTTCTTTAGATGCCTGGCCAAGGCCTTCAAAGTCTTGTGTTGGCCCTGCCAGGGTTACCCCAAACAGACCCGCACCGCTCACATCGAATGCGAAACAAGCTCAGCTTCTCATCAGCTTGACACAAAGGCCAACCTGGCTGGCAAACTTGTAGAAAGCAGAGCAGCCGCACAACCTTCATGTTGTTGCAAGCGAACTGTCAACCGCCCAAGCGAACCCAATCAGTTGCTTTCAGTTACCCGTTCTCGTGAACCTGCATACCTGGGCTCTGCACGAGTTCCGGTGCTCAATCTCTGCTCCCTCGCGAACCAAATAGTCGACGGCCTCGATTTCGAATGGAAAAGCTCGACCATGTCTGTGCCACTGACCTCTCCCGTCACCGCCCAGAACAATGGCGTCTCACCTCACATCAGCAGTGGCGTTGGCAGTGGGCAGCAGAGACAGTCAGGAGCCAGACCCATGCAGTCCTGAACATTGATGTCAGTTCCTGCAATCAAATACAAGCATTCGGGTCATTCGAAACTCCGGCCGCCTTTGTCCAGCTGTTTGGCGACTTTGTCCATTCGATCAATACCCACCTTTCACCGAGTCAAAATGGATGCTGGCTTCGGTCAACTTGCAAAACAGTCCTATCTCAAGAATGTAGCGCCATCCCACTCAGGAAGGCACTAATTCATGCAGCAGTGACTGCGTGGGAATTGTGCCTGCCAAAGATACCTGGGAAAATGTCCATAGCGCCACGTTTTGAATTTGCCCTGAGAGATGTGTGTCACACAGGAGGCTGAGCCAAGGTGCTGATCGCCTGGATTGTGCTCCGCCGCCGCCAAGCCTGAGAACTCTTTAGGATTCTTTTTGGATCTGAATGATACAAACATGCCAGCCAAAGCCCGCTATATCCGGCGGCACCAGCCCCGGCACCAACACCCTCGAACTGTGTTGTTCCCTGCGGCAACACACTGGAGTTGCAACATCTTGCAACGGTGTCGCTCAACGCCTCGCTGCTGCAAGAGTCCAACTTGTTCATGCGGTACCTCCGTCATGCTTTTGCTTGTACGTGCCAGGCATGCAGCAACAAACATGCGCCAACGTCAGGTCGGCGCACTTCCATTCTGGAAACTTGAAGTCTGGGCCCAAGTCCTGCATGAGCGCCTTCATCTCTGGCCTCCAAAATATCAAGACATATCCAATGTATGAATTACAGGCAGAGAGATATACATGTTACTAGTATGGTACAGGGGTCAGACAAGTCCACCACCCCCGCCCTGGTACGGTTGTGGTGGTTTGAACTGGGTGTGGGGTTAATTTGGGTTGTTGGGGCTAGGATTGGTTGGTTGGTTGGTTGGTTGGTTGGTTGGTTGGTTGGTTGGGTGGGTGGGTGGGTGGGTGGGGGTTGGTTGGCATGTTTAGGGCTGGCGGAGGGTTGGGTTGATTTAGGTTGGTTCGGGTGTTTTGGGTTGGTTTCTGTGGGCTGACTACGTCTTTTATTGGTTCAGGCTGGTTTAGGGTTAGTCTGGAGTTTGTTGAGGGTTAGTTCAGAGTTGGTCTCGGTGAGGGTTGGTTTAGGGTCGGCTTGTCCTGAATGCGGGGGTGCCAGCGTGCGAGGTCAGGGATCTTTCGGCGGCTGCTAGGATCTGGGGGCTGGGGTGTTTGACATATGCGTCAGTCCCTCAATGCGATGTAAACTTGTAAAGTGTGCACAGCCCTCGCAGATAGCACATGGTAGCTCAACGTGTCTGCTTGTTCAGTGGGAAAACATCACTTACCACTGAGGCCCTGGCTTTAAGTTGCCACCCAGCATCTTCTTCACCCTTTCTTCCATAACGGTGCCCATGGCGCCTTGCCAACAGCGAGAGGCAACAGGGCGAAACACCGTCAGCTCCCTTTCTCGCGCCTCCCGGCTCCGAACACCCCAAGAGGAAGGGGGTTGAAGGGCACTCCTATGCTGCGCACGTCCAACGTGAAAAGAACCGACTTCAATCTAAGCAACTGGCCCTTGTCAAGAGACAACATTTCTGCTGCATTGACATCAAGCTCTGGTGAGGCTCGGCGCTTGTCTTTCTATCAACATTGCTGGTCTATTGCGAGCTCTGCTGGACGATGCTACGCTGGTGGTGCAAGATGGCTCCAACAAAAGACTATGTGCGATTTTCAGGATGTGACTCTGCTTGCAACACCGAGCACAGCAGCAAAGCACGTGCAAACTAAGTCAGCGGGCAAAGCCTCAGATTATCCACTTTGATCCTTGGCCACCCGAGTCTGACAGGCAACTGCTGAATCACAGGCATGCTCATGCGGCAAGCAATCAGTCAAGCTCACGCAGCACATGCAGAACCATACAGTTCGAATGCCTATTGTGACACACAGCTGATGTCTGACTTGGACTATAATTCACCTCATTTCCAACACTGAAAACGTGTGTCTCCATCTTCAGTGCTCAAAACATGTTCCTTTGAAGTGAGCCGTCCAGGTGGAGTGCATGTCTTAGCTCGACACTTGAGGCATGTACCACCGCTCATGAGGATGCTGTACCTGACTGCCAAGGCAAGCGTTGGCACCAGTTGGATTGCTTTTCTCTTGTCTGACACGAGTTGGGAGCTGAGCGAACGGAAAGCCCGGTATTGTTTAGCTTGGGTCTGGCCGGTGCTACCAGACTCGTGTCTGCCCGAATGTGCAATCTGATTTACCCCCAAGAAAGGGTCTAAGATTTGACAGTCCACACCTTAATTCATATTTGGAGACAGTGGCCCAAACGTGTGTCTTATCTGCTTGTGCTCCCCTTGCAAAAGTCATACCTGAGCTGCATGTACTTAGACTTCCTGAGGTTGAGAATTGGTGTACCTTACGTCAATCACTGTGGGCTTAAGTGCAAGTGCTCTCAGCCTGAGTCTTTGGGAGATGGGCTGAGCACCAAAGAATTCAAGGTGGGGAAGCATCCAATGTATTGACGCCGGCCAAATTGGGGTGCACATCGCGTTGCTCATGCTCCACAGTCATGGCATCAGTACAACACCAAGCCAGCCCACTTGCATAGATTTAGGTAAGGATTGTAGGTACACAAAGCACAGTTTTTGGCAGCTCCAGCTGGAAGATCACAACTGTTCAGTACCAGTGTAGTACACTTAGCAGCTCGAAAATCAAAATGTCCAGCCGTTATCAGAAAACATGCGGAGAGGAAAGGTGTGCAAAAGGGCCGTTCGGTGGAGAAACGTCGCAACCTCGGAAAACTAAAATCCGCTTTGATTGCAAATCTCTCACAGAGGAAATCCGCCGACAACAGACGGCGTGTTGGACACAAAAAATGCTCCTTACCTCTTTACCTGTTACCCCTCCCCTAACCCCTCCCCGGGGGGGGGGGGGTGATTCGAAGACGCTTCACTAAATCTGTTCATTGTGCGGGCTTGCGCAACCCAGTTTGTCAAAAACATTGGGGTGTTCGATTCCCCCCGGGTGCGCTTTCGCATCCTTAGGAGCTCCAGCGGCACATCGCCAGCATCAACTGCATCATCCGCATCAGCGCCTGCCAAGGATGCGGATGATGCAAGTGATGCTGGGGATGCTGCCCATGCTGGTGAAGGAAATGAAGGGGGGAAGGGGGAAAGAATCTCAACAGCGGAAAGATCTCAGGGAGGAAAGGGAGAAGATCTGGGGAAAAATGCCTTAAGGGGGAAAGGGGGGAAAAGATCTTAGGGAGGCAAAGGGAGAGGAACTCAGGGTGCGAAAAGGCCTTCGGGGGGACAGGGGGGAAAGCATCTCAATAAAGAAAGGTGGGAAGGCCTTAGGGGGGAAAGGGGGGAAAGGATCTCAACAGGGAATGGCGGGAAAACATCTTAGGGAGGAAAAAGGAGGAAAAGGGATATGATCTCAGGGGGGGGAAAAGGCCTTGGGGGGGGGAAGGGGGGGAAAGGATCGAAAAGCGAGAAGATCTCAGGGGGGGAAAAGGCCTTAAGATCTCAGGGGGGGGAAGGCCTTAGGGGGGAAAGGGCGAAAGGATCTCAAGGGGGAAAAGATCTTGGGGAGGCAAAGGGAGAAGGCCTTAGGGGGGAAAGGGGGGAAAGGGCCTCAACAGAAAAGGGGGGAAAACATCTTTGTGAGGAAAAGGGAGAAGATCTTGGGGGGAAAAGGCCTTAGGGGGGAAAGGGGGGGAAAGGAGGGGGGACGAAGGCCTTAGGGGGGAAAGGGGGGAAAGGCTCTCAACAGGGAAAGGTGGCAAAAGATCTTAGGGGAGGAAAAGGGAGAAGATCTCAAGGGAAAAGGACTTAGGGAGGAAAGGGGGGGAAAGATCTTTGGGAGGAAAATGGAGAAGAACTGAGGGTGGGAAAAGGCCTTAGAAGGAAAACGGGGGAAATAAATGATCTCAACACGGAACTGGGGGGGAAAGATCTTAGGGAGGAAAGGCAGAAGATCTGGGGCAAAAAGGCCTTAGGGGGGAAAGGGGAGAAATGATCTCAACAGGGAAAGGGGTGGAAAAGATCTTAGGGAGGAAAGGGAGAAGATCTGAGGAAAAAAGGCCAACAGGGAAAGGGGGGAAAAGATGGGGGGCAAAGGATCTCAACAAGGAAAGGGTGGGAAACATCTTAGGGAGGAAAGGGGGGGGAAGATCTTAGGGAGGAAAGGGAGAAGATCTGGGAGGAAAGGATTTAGGGGGGAAAGCCCAACAGGGAAAGGGGGGAAAAGATCTTAGGAAGGAAAAGAGAGAAGCTCTCAGGGGGGGGAAAGGCCTTAGGGGGGAAAGGGGGAAAAGGACCTCAGCAGGGAAAGGGGGGAAAGATCTTAGGGAGGAAAGGGAGAGGATCTGGGGACAAAGGCCTTAGGGGGGAAAGGGGAGAAATGATCTCAACAGGGGCAGGGGTGGAAAAGATCTTAGGGAGGAAAGGGAGAAGATCTGGGGGAAGAAAAGCCAACAGGGAAAGGGGGGAAAGATCTAAGGAAGGAAAAGGGAGAAGCTCTCAGGGGGGGAAAGGCCTAGGCGGGAAAAGGGGGAAAGGAGCTCAACAGGGAAAGGTGGGAGAAGATCCTAGGGGGGAAAAGGGAGAAGATCGCGGGGGGAAAGGGGGAAAGGATCTCAACCAAGGGAAAAGATCTCAGGGGGGGAAAGGCCTTAGGGGGGAAAGGGGGGAAAGGATCTGAGCAGGGAAAGGGGGGGAAAGATCTTAGGGAGGAAAGGGAGAAGATCTGGGGGCAAAGGCCTTAGGGGGGAAAGGGGAGAAATGATCTCAACGGGGAAAGGGGTGGAAAAGATCTTAGGGAGGCAAAGGGAGAAGATCTGGGGGAAAAACGGCCAACAGGGAAAGGGGGGAAAGATCTAAGGAAGGAAAAGGGAGAAGCTCTCACAAAAAGAAAGGCCTGAGGGGGGAAAGGGAGGGAAGGATCTCAACAGGGAAAGGGGGGAAACAATCTTAGGGAGGAAAGGGGGGGGGGAAGATCTTAGGGAGGAAAGGGAGAAGACCTGGGAGAAAAGGACTTAGGGGGGAAAGCCCAACAGGGAAAGGGGGGAAAAGATCTTAGGAAGGAAAAGGGGGAAGCCCCCACTGGGAGGGAAAGGGGGGAAAGGATCTCAACAGGG